AGACAGAAGGATTTGAGGCAACCTACATCCACAGAAGATCCGTGGTTAGTTCTCCAAGTTGTTTGCATCAAACTCCCTGCTGAGTTCTTTCAAAAACTGTGCGCGAATGTACCTAGAAGAATTGAGGTTTTGAAGGCAATGGCTAATCACACCAAATATTGATTGAATTTGGATTTCTCTTCAATTTTGTTAACTGATACAAAATAAACAACACTATTTCTGAAAGCATTCTTAATTTACAGTATTTTTTTCACACTTCCTTAAGACTTTTGCACATTAATTATATACAAAATATACATACATACACGCGTGTTAAAGGTGAACATGACAAAATTTTCAAATGTATCCTCAATGAAAAAAAAACAAATAAAAAAAAAAAAAAAACACAAAAATAATATAGATACAATTTAAAATGTTGGAGTGTTAAAGTGACATTTTCTTGAAGCAACAAAACCACAGAAGGTGCTATGCAAGTAAAATAAATAAATAAATAAATCTGCACATTCACAACAGTAGTAAAGTAAATGCCTATTAAAAAAAAATCCCAAACAAACAAACCATGAAGCATGCTCATTCCCATGCAGGAACAACTTTACTCACGTTTCATATCCATGTTCCTGGTCTTATACACAAAATAAGTGTAGATCTGTGTGGTACGGATGAGGATCTGATCACCGCTATAACGAATTGATTTATACCACCATGAACCCTGAAACAGCAATTTTTGAAAAAGGTACATCACATTCATTATGAAGATAATTACCACCATGCATATACTATTCTAATGCATTATCCAACTCTAGCAGTCTTTGTGGTTTTTGAAAAAGATGCACTGCTATACAAATACCAAAATGTTTAAGCAGAATAGTTATACGGAACGACAAAAAACTATTACTAAGAATGTAAGCCACTGGAGCCAAAAAGAATCATTTGCAATAGTGTTCTTAGATGCTGGCAGAAAGAGAATAGGCAATAGCAAGAAACGTAAGGAACCCACAAGTAAAGCCTTGTTGGCCATTTTTACTGTCGCTTTTAGGGGCGTCAGGCATTTTTTCTTTCCTGCTTCCAAATGCACACACAGACTTTTAGCAGCATTTAGTGGAAGGAGAGTTTTAATGGCCAGAAAACAAAAAAAACACACCGCCAGTGGGTCCAGGAGCTGCAGCCTTTTGACAGTAAAACCGCTTGACAACGTGTATTAACGCTAGGCGCATTTAGCGCTTGAACATTAAACCATTTCAATGGTCAAAATAGATTATTATTATTAATATTAAGGTTCTAGGAGAGTTTTCAAAATGCCTAAAAATGGAATGTCATGGCAAAAAAAAAAAAAATAAAAACATGAAAAAAAAACCAACACATATATGTACTACATTTCTGCAAAATATGCATATCTCATTTTTTTTGCTTTAAAGATCCTGCAAGAACAGGAAGACACCTGTTAATATGCCAGAAATACATTCAACTCCTAAATCCTGTTGTGCGTGGACAACACACAGCATTTTTGTGGGACTGGGGGATGTCAGTCCTGCCCTACTGTCATTTGCTAAATTAGTCAAACCCACCTCCTATTCTATCTTATTCTCTACAACATAGCTGCTAACCATTGTGTAAACCCAAGATAAAAACTTTAATTAGACTTAGTTGAACTCCTTGAGATAAAGGTTAATTAGAATCCTTGAGATAAAGCAAAAAAAGTGCAAACTACCCAGGACAGCTTTAAATGTTTGACTTGATCCACAGAAATTTTTTTTCCAATAATTGAACAGATAAGTACACAATTGGAAGTGTATTGTTAAACTAAAAGGTAGGAAATAGATATTTATTGTTAGGGCTCACACACCTCTCTATATGCTAGCAGAAAATTTTGTGTATAAAAACTTTTCAACAAAAAAATAATTGTGTTGCCCACAGTATACAGATGTCGCCTCCAGTTTTGTAAGCTTCACTAAAGAAAAGCAATGAAAAAAAAAACAAAATATATATTTTCATTCTCTGTCGTTTCACACCAAAAGGCAAACCTATTCTTTATTGACTACATCCATATTTCTTCATAAAAGTTAACCAAATCAAAAATGATCGGAGATATTATACTTTCCAAAAGTTAAAATTTATATTACTGTAGTAAAAAAACTGTCCCTGGTTTTGAGGAATGGCATTTACATGCTTCAGTATTAAAAAGCAAAGTTAATCATGCAGATGGAACTGCCTGTTCAAATGTCTGCCATCTGTTCCAGTTCATTAAAGGCGCTAACAATTCCTGTTTTTAACTAGAAAACAAATTCTGCAAAAAAAAAAGAAAAAAAAAAAAAAAGAATGAAACTTCTTGCCAAGAATGTGAATCATTCCATTCAGCTACAATTTGCAATTTTTATTCATTCTAGGGGTTTCACAGTTTCTGTTGCTCAGCTAAATCAGGATCACAATGACAAAATAGAACTCTTACAGGTTTTGATATCATCATTCTCTATGACAGCACCTTAAAAAGGAGAGGAATGGGAAGAGCATGACTAACTCTTACCTGTAGTGCTAGGGAATGTTTTAGAATGAAAAGCCAAAAAAATATGGTGTAAAGTTTAAATCAGTAGGGCCTTGTCTGGTGTTAAAAATATGCCCCAGGCTACACTTTGAGTACCTCAACCACACTATTGTTTTCAAGACAGGTAAACAAAGGCGACACAAAAGGGAGGGATTTACCAAATTGCTGCCCCATGGGAAAACTGTAGTTGCACTTTTTCCTATGCTTCATTCCAGCACACAAGGGACATAAAGAGATATAACTATAAGTGTGTTGCCAAAGATAAAATGCCATGTCCAAACTTTGGCCCTTCCTCACTAGTCTTCTAGAAAATAAAATGTGAACGCTTAACCATGCACCGGATTTGACAAGTATGGCCTACTGGCACAACCACACCCTCTGAATTCACCCTGGTGGAATGGACTTGGAAACCAATCTGAGGCAAAGGAGACTGTTGGTTTTGCCCTCCTGCCAACTATAGTTTTTAAGGCTTTGTTGCTTATGTTCCGTGAATTGTACTAGTACATTATATTTTTTACCAAGCTATTGTGTGCAGATATATACAGTAGATGCTAAAAACTCTCCACAATAAAAGAAAGCCAATGACTGTCCTAAGAGGTTGAATCTGAACATTTTATACATACAAAGGCATTGCAATTTTGCAAAACCAATCGGGGACAAATACTGCTTTTGGGTTTCGTAACTTTGAGCAGGTTTGGATGATAACCTTGAAATATTTTAGTTGGAGTTGATAACCTCTTGTTTCAACAATCCCTAAATGCCAGCAAGGACTGTCTGACATTGAGACCAGGGGAGTAACAAATTTCTACATCCCATATTCATGCAGTAGCTAAACAGGTTTCCAAAAAAATCAGTGAAAATTGGGTGTCCCCAAACCTCTGATGGAACTAGTGGGAACAGACCATCATGAAGTGGTGGATTTGTCCACAGGTTTGAATCCCTTGCTTTGCCAAGGATATTCAAGACTAATAGGTTCGGGAACTGGAAACTGATTGATTTAAGAGAAATGAGAGGTACGTTTTGATATTGGATAGGAGGGTATCAACCTGCATTGTGGATTATGCCATACCTTCGCACTAGCAGCAACGCTGACTGCACTGCTATTGCTGTGTTCTAGGAGGAAACTGTGCCGATGCACCAATCCTGGTAAGTTGTACTATTTATCCTTTTTGTTAGAAACTTATTGAAACATCACGTGAAAAAAAGTATAGCATGCATCTTTGAAAGGTTATGAGTATGTGGAGCCTTAGAGTAAAGTGTATATTGGGCAGTTTTCGAAATTGATATTACCAGCCTTATAATGTAATGCTGTTTTGCTGACCTTATGAAATTTTGACTCTGTACATATATTGAATTGGTTATTAGGGCTTTAAAAAGGTACAAATAGGTTCTGCGCCGTGGACAGAAAAATAATTTTATACTCAGCAGGCTGCTGCGGAGTATGTCCTAGGACATTTTGTTTTTAAAGCGCCATACAAATGGCTTACATGCAAGTGCATTTTTAAGTGTTTATAAGTGTTGTAATATACAATAAAAGCAGTATAACGCTATGGAGGTTTCCTTCTGATTGCTTTTCACGGTGGTGGAAGAGTATTGTGGATGGTTTGGAGAGCATTCCTACTATGGAGTCCAAGACCAGTGGATAGAGACTTCGGAGTACACAGGAGAGACAGATCGGCTTTAGGGGCCTGTCGAAACACCAAACACACTGTCTGACCTACCTGAGCAACACTATGTGGCGACTGGGGCTCTGTTGGGGGAGCACCCAACACAAGATTTTGTTATTAAGAAAATCTTTCATCACTGAATCACATTGAATGTGGAAGGTGTTTTGAACACTGGGACTTTAATATTTCTTTAATATTGCATTTACATTTGCAATAAGGGTTTGCTATTTTTTTTTATGGTTCAGGATTATCTTTTCTATGGTGTTAGCACCATTGAGGCACTGTATTTTGTCAATTCACATAACACACATTCATGTATTCTTTAGGCATGCACATATCTCCCTATCCACAGGGGTGGATTGAGCTCCTGGTAGAGGGAGGTGCATACAGCCTTTCATCATGGTTTATGAATGGTATAGGGTACACAAATGTGTGGCATAGCATTAACTATACACTATCAGTAGACCCCCAAGCTGAAGTGCAGCATTTGTTTTAACCTATTCAATATGCGCGCCAGAGTAAGAGGAGCGTGTGCGAACATGCACAAGTGCACAAGGCAAAATAAAACTTTGTCAGAGTCCCAAATGAGGCCAGTAAACAGTGGGAAATGGTAGCAATTTGAAAAGTAAAAAAAACAAAATTATGACAATAAAATGGATGGTTCTCATACAGAACACACCTCAGCTAAACTAGTAGAGCAATGGTTCAGTCCAGGTACGCAAAAAACATATAGCAATAGTAGGAGACTTTAAAAAGGAAGGCAAAGCTACATGCCCAGCTTACAACCTACACTATATTGCCAAAAGTATTGAGATGCCTGCCTTTACACGCACATGAACGTTAATGACATCCCAGTCTTAGTCTGTAGGGTTCAATAATGAGTTGGTCCGCTCTTTGCAGCTATAACAGCTTCAGCTCTTCTGGGAAAACTGTCCACAAGGTTTACAAGTGTGTATATGAGAATCTTTTACCATTCTTCCAGAAGCCTATTTGTAAGGTCCGGCATTGATGTCGAACGAGTAGGCCTGGCTCACAGTCTCCACTCTTATTCATCCCAAAGGTTTTCTATAAGGTTGAGGTCAGGACTCTGCGAGTCAAGTTCCTCCACCCCAAACTAGCTCATCCATGTCTTTATGGACCTTGGTTTGTGCACTGGTGTGCAGTCATGTTGGAACAGGAAGGGACTATCCACAAACTGTTCCCACAAAGTTGGGAGCATGAAAGTGTCCAAAATGTCTTAGAATGCTGATGATTAAAGAGTTCCCTTCACTGGAAGGGGCTAATCCCAACCCCTGAAAAACAACCCCACATCATAATCCCCCCTCCACTAAACTTTACACTTGGCACAAGGCAGTCAGGCAAGTTCCTGGCAACTCTCTGGAGCACCTGAATCCAATGATCTGGAGGGGTGTCCCAATACTTTTGGCAATATAGTATATGTAGAATTCAGGAAGCACAGCAACCACCTAACCCAGACACATTCATCAGATTGCCAGATAGAGA